TGAATAAGATATTTAAAGATTATGGCTTTTTAACTATTAGAGGAAATTTAAGCACCCTCCGATCACTAATATCAAAATTAGTTGGGAGTTGATTTTGTTATAAGTATAAGATGTACATCAATTTACTTTATTTTTCATATTTATTATTTTTTTAAGCTAATTTACTTAACTTATAAATTATATATAATATTATAGCGTGACGCATGCATTTTGAGGAAATAAATTCACATTTGTTATAATCAGTAATTTATATATCTTGCATTCTTAATCTATCACTTTGTTATATTTGAGATTAATATTTAAAGAGGCCTTTATTTCTAGTGCTTCAAAAAGATTTTTAAACTCATCCTTCTACCATGAGGTGGTAACAAAATTGGTTGTTTTAGCAATCTAATCCCTGAATCAATCAGGGACTAGATTGCTAACAAATTTAAATTATAAGGATTAACTCTATAAAAAAAAAACACATAATTCATAGGGAAAAGTTTAAACAGATTTTAAAGTATAGGTACCTCTTTAAGAATTTATGTAAAACATAAGGACCAAATGTTTGTGCTCAAGTGTTTGTTCTTTTGAAAAAATTCGGTTGCACGAGAATAATTTACTTTGATTATTTCTTTCTTTACTTTTGAAAAAATTCGGTTGCACGAGTCAAAAAGTTGATCAAGTGTTTGTTCTCAAAGCACTACGTGCATATCGTGGGGGAAGAATAGAATCATCAATTTTTTTTTTAAAAATCCTTATCCAAGCTTTTTGGCAATTTTTTTTTGGTTGAAAAAGGGTCAGAAAAAAGAAGATGATCAGGCAAAAAGAAAATGTTCCACTGAAAATGACATGGTTTAATTCGACAATAATCCGTAGCTACTTAGAAAGAAACTTACATATACACACAAATTATATATAAATGTACGCATTCATACTCTCCCAGAGATAATATCTTTTTAGTGGTATTTATAACTCACATTATTAGCTTTTTTTAAAAAAAAATATATGCATAATTTTGCTCTTCATTTAATATTATATAGATATTGTATTATTGAGGTAGAGTATATATTAAATATGATTAAAGTTAAAAAAAATTATTAAGTTTTATGACAAAATTAATGAGATTTAGTTTTTTTTTAAAACTCCGATGAAATGAGTTAGGAGTGACTTATAAATACAATTAGATGAGTGTGTGTATGTTACTTATGGTCCTAAACATAAGATCTTGTTTGTATTACAAACAAGATCTTATGTTTAAGATTTGAGGTGAACTTTATACTCTTTTGGTTCTTAATATAAAATCAATTTAACTAATTTGATTAGATTAAAAAAGTTAAGTAAGTTAATTAATTATAAAAAATATGACATGTTTTTTCTAAAACACTATAATCATCTTTTTTAATATCCTCTTTTCCTCCTCTACGTAATTATAGTTGAGGGAGATCCATATGAGTGATTTAGAAAAAATTGATAAATATAAGAAATATGTCTTATATTTAGAGCCAAAATTAATTCAACAATTATACTCTATATTAAGGACAAGAGGAGTATTATACATTAGATCTTACATTTAAAATTAGAGGTTTAATTATGAATGGAATTTGAAATTAATGTTGTTAAAGATGGGGGGTGTCACCTGAATTGATGAAGAGAGGGGCATGTTGGGGATCGATGGGTCCTAATTAGTCAGTGCTTGAAAGCGAAGTAAAGGGAAGAGAGAAAAGTTGCTTTCCCAAAGGAATCATTAATTCATTGTTTGGAGAGAGTGGCAGAGTTCTCATCTCTGCTTCTTCTTCTTCTTCACTTTTGGTTTATTACTTTTTTGCTGTTTTGTTGATTGCTGTTGTTTTTGGCTGGTAATTTCCTGCTGTTATGTTAGGCACGTTCAAAAGAGAAAATATCAATCAATAGTAGGGTGGGGTCCAAGGGAAACTCAATTCTAACATTAATAAGGTTAATGTATAGAGTTTTTTTTTTGGGGCCTGGTTAATGTATAGAGTTGAAATCTTGCCAAATGAAAAAAAGATTATAAATTGGTAGTACTTGAATTTGTCTCAATAATCTCAAATTGCATTAAAAAAGGGGAAGTAATATATTATTAAAGAAATGCTAAGGTATATTTTTAGTCCTCAACTTTATACAAAATTTTAATTTAGTCTCTTAACTTTGAAAAATATATTTTTAGTCTTTGAACTTTAAAACTATTAAGAAAAAATGATGATATTGAGAGAGAATATTAATATATTAAGTTTAATTTTCAAAACAACCATGATTGTCAAAAAAATAATCATTTAAGACTAATAATTTTAGCATTAAAGGATTAAAAATTTACTTGTTTAAGTTAAGGGATCAAATTGAAATTTTATATAAAGTTAAAGAATTATATGTATACTTTAGCCTTAAAGAAAATATTCAAGATTCATTATTAATTTTCCCATTTTTATTTATTATATCTTAAATCCATTTAATATATATAATTTTGCAATGTCTTGTATCTTCATATTAATAATTCAAAATTTAAACATTTTTATAATGTATTTGAGTTTTTTTAATTAAGAACAGCCTTACGCTATATGGGGAACGAGTATTAAGAATTCATCGCTACTACATACCGTCTAAATCTAATGTGAATAGTTCGATTGAAATTTATTTTTTAAATTTATTATTTTAAAAGAATTATTTTAATGAATACAAAATCTAAAATAAAAATACTAAAATTATTTTAATAGATTATTTCACTGCCACAAAGTATTATTAGTTTTATAGTAATTTAATAAAACTTTTCTTTAAACTTATTATACAGTACTTTCCAATTACAGATGATTTTTATAGCCTTCTCCATTTAAACCATCCAATTTGCATTTTGTGCGTAACATTTTTTAAAGTTTGGCTCGCAAATACAAAATTTTCAGAGTTTTTTTTTTTACATGCACAAAGTTTTCAGGGTTATCTGTATTTAATTTTCATGCCTAAGATTGAGAGTAATTTTCCTTTTTCGTGAAAAAAATTGGGTCTTGCTCAATTCTTATGTTTGCATAGTCCAAAGCCCAAAACGTAATGTCGGCCTAGTATTACGTTCTTTAAAGTTGATCCTCCAGGCCCATAGTATTCATATTTTTTCTGTGGACACTGCAATTTATTGGTCTGATGGATTCTTTTTCCTTCCCTTCCCCTTCTAGGTACAAATATTCTCCTATGAAAGAAATCTTGTTCAAAACATTATCAAATACTAAATATAAATATTTTTTTAGTAGAGATTTAAACTTTTATTTGTTAGGTTAAGAGGAACTAACCTTTTTGCTAGACCTAATCCTTATTAGTGGCCTATGGATTGTATTAAATATTCTATGATTATGTTGCGAAATAACTTTTAACATGACCTTGTATCAAAACAAATTAAGGTACAAATTTGTTCTCAAAAATTTTCGCTCAAGGGCACTAGATATCCCAGAAGTTTTTTTAATGTACAAATTTATTTAAAAAATTTAAAATTATAGCAATATTGCCTTTTACTGTTAAAAAAACTAACGGTTAAAATAGCAATATTAACTGTTAATATTTTTAATATTAGGGGCTAATATTATTATAATTTTAAATTTTCAGGATAAATTTGCACTTTAATATTATAAGAAAACAACATTACCAAGACTCCAAAATAATAATAATAATAATAATAATAATAATAATAATAATGGATTTTATGGTTCATCCAACACTTCAAGACTTCAAGATATTTTATGATTCATTCAATATCTTGAAATATTTTTTTTTAATGTACTCAGCACCTCAGTATCTTAAGAATAAAATTATACCATAAAATATTTAAGATGCACTGAAAAAATATTTCAAATACTGGAAAAGCATTAACCCTTCATATAATAAATTTAATAAAATAACTTACATTAAGTTAAAAAAAAAAAAAAAGAAACTCTCTCCCTCTGCCGCCTTAATTGGACCAGAACGGGTTAAGAAAAAAAAACAATAATTGATTATCACCCAAAAAAAGGGGAAAAAAGGCAATACTTGATTACAAGTGTCAAACTATTTAATTTGAAGTGTGTGTGTATACACGCACTGCCTTTTTGTTTTTAATATAAAAACTATATAACAAATTTATGATTATTAAAAAAATTAATTAAATTAGTTATTTGTAATAAATAAATATCGTCTTTTCTAAAATATTCTTATTAATCATGTATATTGAAATGAAAATCATTTAATATGAGCATTCACCTTGAAAACTATTCTGAAAAGCAATAAATAAATATGAGAAACAAAATAAGTTATGATTTTATATTTATATCAAATTTAATTTTCAACTAACTAATCAGGAGTGATCCAGATGTAGTATACTGGAGTGAGTTATTTATTAAACAATAAAAAGGGGCCGTGTGATCCTCGCACATATGGAAAGAGGCTGTGGAAACTTCTTTTTGGGAATGAATTTCAAACCACAAACAGTAATATATTAATATAAAAAACGTCCCACGAGAATAATGCATGCAGAGTTTCAATTATAATCCCAAGAATATTCCATTGCCTTCTTTTCTTCTCAATCTTTTTTTACTCAATTATAAGTTTCTTTTCCTGCATTGATGTCTAAAACCCACACACACAAATTTAATAGTCTATTGTTTATAATCTTTGATCTTTAATGATCATTCTAGTATAATTTTAAAAATGTTTTATTTTTGTTAAACTTCAGGTATAGTTATATAAAGAGATGGAAATTAAAAGAGACAAGAACAAAAACATTTTAATAAATAAATAACTCTGTCCATTTCTAAATCATCTAATTCTACTCAGGAATGAATTAGTGGCTGTAAATAAATAAATTTTATCTCAAGTTAACAATCATAATAATAAATTAACATATAAAAAGTTATCATAATAAAGGACAATAAATTTGAATAGGATTATATTATTCTATAGATATAAACCATATACAGATATGAAGGGATCACATCCAAATCTGTTCTCTCTCCTATAGCTCTCACCTGTCAGTTCAGTACGAAATGACTGATTATAAGATCCTTTTGGTGTTGTTTATAATGGTGAATGAAGCAATGGGAGGATTAAACACAGACCTAACAGCAACAGAATGTGGGAATCTTATCACTATTCTGAGCATTGATGGAGGTGGCATTAGAGGGATTGTCCCTTCAGTTATTCTTCAATATCTTGAGGCTGAACTTCAGGTACTTCCAACTTTTCATATATATATATATATAGATTTAGATATATAGAGAGCAAGTTCATTATATATATGATTCCTTTGAGTTGAAGATGTAAAGCTTGATGACTGTATTCCATAATTATCATCAATTTGATTCCTCTTTAACACTTGGCTTCATACGACAATTCATTTTGCTAATTAGTTGAAGGAAAAATTAATCTTTTGGTCTTTAGAAAATTAATCTTTTGGTCTTTAAAGTAAGAAGTTTTAACTTGTTACTGTAAAGTATCTTATAGTTTATTCAACTCCCTAAAGTATTATTCCAGGTATATTATATTCAACACTTTAAAGTGTATTGTGGTTCATATCAACAAAGAGTTGGTCTAATGGTGTAAAATCCTGCTAGAACTTTTTGGATCTCGAGTTTGAGTCCCAGAGTAGACACCTTTGTAAGAAGGAAATGTCATGAACTCTGAATTGGATTAGTCAATTGCTCAGATACCTGATAATAGAATCTTAAAAAAGCATTGGATACAGAATGATAATATAAGAAAAAAAAGTATATTTTGGTTCATTTAGCATCTTAGGTGAGCCACACTATTCAATATTCATGGTAATTATTTCTTGCAAGTGACTTATAATAGGATCGGAGTGATACGTGTTTGAGGAATAACTCAACGTTTAATTTAATTACCAAACGCATCATAATGTTTATGCGGATAACCTCATTTTTTCTATTAATTAATTGCATTGAAACGTCAGAACCAACACAGATGAATGAGCTCGAAGTTTAAACTCATCAGTAGTAATAATTACTTTGATGATGGGAATTGACAGAAAAGAGATGGGAATGGAAGGATCTCAGATTATTTTGACGTGATAGCTGGGAGCAGTACAGGTGGACTTATAGCTTCAATGCTGACAGCCCCTCATCCTTTTCACAAAAATCGCCCTCTCTTCACTGCTCCTCAAATCCTTCACTTCTACAAACAATTTGCCCCTCTTATTTTCAATCAAACCAGGTAGCACTTGTGGATCAACGACCTAATATCCCACATTCAAATATACTTCTTCTTATGAATTTATTATCACTGAATCACATGCAGGCCATGGAATATGTATTTCACGCACGGTCCCAAGTATGATGGAAAGGGGTTACGTCACTTAATCAGATCAAAACTTAACCAAACACGACTTAACCAGACATTGACAAACGTTGTAATTCCAACCTATGATCTCAAGCTCTCACATCCCACAATATTTTCAAGCTTCCAGGTTTCAATCTCCTAATTAATTCTCTCTCTCTCTCTATCTATATAGTTTGGGATTTTTACCCCAAATGGTCAGGATATTATGTATCACTAATTAAAACAGAACTAGTCATGTAACGTTGAGAATGCAGGAAAAGTATTCGGATGTGTTGCTCTCAGATATATGCATAGGGACCTCAGCTACACCCACATATTTTCCAGCACATCATTTTAAGAACAATGGTCGTGAGTTCAATTTGATCGATGGCATTTTCATGGCCAATCACCCGGTAAAATGATTTTCACACACACACACACACACACACACACACACATATATAAAACAATATGTATTCTGAGAGTGTGAACCTAACCTTAAACATGCCACTAAAAAAGATGAAACACTATGTACTTTTATCAATAAGAAAGAGCATTACATATGAAGGAGATTTCTAAAAATTTTATTGTAACAACCAACCACAACAAGAAGGTAATAACAATAAGCCTTATTCTGCTAGACATAGGGTTAAGTACTATAAATGAATCACATGGTGATATTGTTATTCTTATAACAACTAAATCTTTAGATAAATTATTAACGAAAAATTTTATTAAGTGTTCTTTTCGATTTTCTTTCACTTCCTTTGAGTCAACTTTCCTCATAGCTTTCTAAACTTTGCAGCAAAACATAGTTAGGGAAATTATATGAAGTGAAAGTGTCGATACTGACCTCTATACCAAATAGAGAAAGTAATATTATGAAGAAACTTTTTAAATTTTTAATGAAATGATTAATTTTCAGGCGCTGATTGCAATTAGTGAAGTGAAACATGCACAGGAGAAGAAGGCAGAGTTGTTTGGGGCGAAGAAAAGTGATAGAAAATTCTTGGTGCTATCTTTAGGAACTGGGAAATCAGAATCTTCCAATAAATATGATGCAGAAACTACAGAAAACTGGACTGGTTATGAAGGGTTACGACCTGTATTGCAAATATCTATTTTCGATTCTCCTACCTACATGACTGATTACTATCTTGCCAGTACTTTACAAACCGTTATAGACCAGGAGAAGTATCTTCGAATTCAGGTGTAAATCTCTCTACTGTTGGTTTTTCTGGAGAAGATTATATTGAACTTAAATAGTCAATACGCTCTGTTGTCCTAAATATAAAAACTATCTTAAATAAAAGATCTTAATCAACATTGTCACCTAATTTAAATTTTTTTCCAAAATTATTCATGTTGATTGCATATACTAAAGGAGGGTTTCCCCATCAATGTAGTCAAATGATTGAAAGGGCATTTTAAGGAAATTAATATACATTTTTTTTGGGCTCAGGAATATGAATTAGATGAGGGGATGAGTTCAGTAGACAATTGCACAAGAGAGAACTTGGATAATCTTGAAAGAGTTGGGAAGAAGCTGTTGGAAAAGCCAGTTTTAAGAGTGAATGAGGAAACGTTTGAGCTTGAGAAAACAGGTCAAGCTACCAATGTGGAAGCCCTACAAAGGTGCGTATATATCAAATCTTCTATTAATCTAACACAAATCCCATTTTAACAATTCTTTTTTAGATAAATGAAAAATATTATATGTTTCTATTTGTCACATATTATATTCCATGTGAGAGAGAAGAGGAATGCCTCTGAATTTGCAACTGTTAAACAAGTCCTGAGGTCCTTAATTTTCAAAATAATTAAAAATTCAAGGGCAAAAATACCCTAGGCAACATTGGATCGGAAGATGGAAGGCAAATATTCAACATTTATATAATAAATTTTAGCTAATGAGTTGTAAATTATTAGCTATAAATTGATTTGACATAATATCTGAAAAATGGGTTTTGGTATAATTAAAAACTCATCTTTAAAGATCTACAATTTAATTGTTTAATATTTACACTTCATCTTTTAATATTTATCCTTTTTTTTTTTTTAACAATTAAGGACTTTGGCACTTGCATGTCTTTTTGCAAAGTTGATAGGCCCAGCTATTCTTCTTTACAAGGGACCTATTGGTCATTCTTCTTATTATTCAGGAAGGAAATTTCAATCCCAAAACTTCGATCCTAAATACCTCCTTAATTGTACGAAGTTTGACATGAACCCCTGGTTTATGAATTGTATAAGTTCATATAAATTTTATATTATATACATATAGCTAGATTTAATGAATGAATCAAAGCCAAGGTCAATATATATTTTAATCTTGAGAATAATTAGTTAATTGTGCAAAATGTTTGAGGGCTCTTTGTTTTGTGTAGGTTGGCTGAAATTCTAGATGAAGAAAGGAAGCATCGTTTGGCAAAGAAATCACAGAAAATGATAGAGAGGTTCGCTTTCTAAAATTTATTAATTTTTTCATTTTCAATAAGAGTTGAACTCAAGTAGCATTTGTACCTCGCCCCATTTTAATCAGTTAAGCTAGCTAGATGTGTAAAAATGCCTTTGAGAAAGGCTTTCCTTTGTTGCACGGTGGAAGGAATATAATGTCGAAAATAAATAATGTGCACTTAATATATATATATATATATATATATATATGGACAACATAGGCAATACTCCCTCACTCCCAAATAGAGATAGATAATTAATTTATGTATATTTAAAAAATTAGTTATTTGTAATAATATATATTACTTCTCTTAAAATACCCCGCCCTTTTTAATTATTACATCTCTTTAATGTATACAATTAATAATAAGGATATTCCATGACATATCAAAAATAATTTTACCTGTTTTTTTGGGTTTGATATGAGTATTTTGATTTCTCGATAGAAATTATCTTGTCAGTATTGGCTTAAATGATCTTTCATGACATAAACATGATTTTCAAACTTGTTCCCATTCCCAATCCTTTCAAATTTAATGTTGGGTAAGAAACAGGGCCTTAAAATAAGTCTATCAGTTCATACGTTTAGATCAGAGCCAATACATACTTTAAGTCGTATATGTAAGTATTAATCAAACAATAGGATTATCCTCAAGATGAAACCAAGTTCAAATAATGTAACTTTTTAATCCTTTACCTTTTAAAATGTCGTTAGTCACTTCTTTCTTTAGGTTCGACTTGGTGAGCATGTTGATGAAATGTTCCATGATATGTTTCTGTAATGATATTCCTTCACAGATATTTCTAATAGACTAAGTAAATAATAACTACCTTGAGTTCTTAATATAAGATATAAATTAAGAAAATTTGTTAAGTCAATTATTTGTAGTAAGTATAAGTTAAATTTCCTAAAGTATCCTTTTAATTGTGACTACATTTAGATGAAAACTCCCTTAATATATGTAATCAGTAGAGATACTTTATATAATGAATTATAAATTTGAAAGAAAATAGATTAATGTCTTATATTTAGAACTAAATATAATTTTTAACTAGATTTTATATTAAAAACGGATATATTACAATGATATAAAAAGTTGTATTAGCATCAAATGTTGTACGGGTTGAAAGAAAGCTTGTTTATATCACTTCTCTCTGTTTTTTTTTTAACAAAAAAAGAAAAAATTTACTTTGAAAGCTTTTAATTATGTGATTCACATAAACATTTTAGGTACGAAAATTAAATACCAATAGATCTCATTTACAAGTCATCCTGTGATATCTTGTCCATCGTATATTAATAATTGGAGGAATATAATTTTTACTCACAATTCAAACAACACAGTTTTGAGTTTGAAGATTTTAGCAACTTCTTAATGAGCCCGTGTCTGTAAACTCCACGAGAAAAGGAAGACGAAAATCTTTTTATCTATATATATATATATATTTTATAACCAGTAAAATTTTTTTAAGTTTCTCTTTTGGAAAAAGGATCAAATAATATTAAAAAGAAAAGAAAGTATCCTTACAAGCACAGTAAAATGGGCCTATTGGGTAATTTTGTACATTTTCCATTGTCCAGATTATCCACACTCACAAGATTAGTAAATCTTTCAGAAGTATCCACGTCATCCATGACACCTTTCCCATCATTCAATTTCAATTCCTTCTCCTTTTGTAAGGCCCAAATTCTAAGAAGCAAACAAGACCTGCCTACGCATTATTTGGGCTATAAATGGGCCCTAAAATCTTAATGGAGAACTTCCGTTAGTTACATATATGTTCAAATGAAATAGCCTATGAAAGGTTTACCCCCAAAAAATATTGAAAGAAAAAGAAATAGCCTATGCAAGTGTAAGTAACCAAAAAAAAAGAAAAAAGAAGAGAAATAACCTATAAAAGAACCAACAGAAGTTCAATCTAGTGGAATGTACTAATCCATTACAATATCAAATCAAAATTTAAATCACTATTAAGAGAAATACCTATATTTAGTAGTGTCAACTTAGGATCAAACCGGTTCATTGGCTAATTTGGATTGAGTTCAAATTGTATGATGCTAACCATCATAATAATTACGCACAGGTTAGTATTCTTTATATTTGCGTTTTGGACTAAACATTCTCACTCTGCGTAATGTATAGATCCCACAATCTTCTGTGGTCTGATCAATTTTTCAAACAAAAACTCTGGCTACGCCCAAATTAAACCAAATAATGGACAGATCAAACCACTTTCACTGCAAAAATAACATTCTTTTTAACGAGCAATAATTATTTCAGTTATGAAAAAATTGGCTATGAATCCCACTGCTCTCATAATTTTGTCGGCAGGCAATCTGCAAGTATGCTTCAAATCATGATCCCTGTTTTGGCGTTGATCATAATAAGTTCACAAAATTCAACTTACCTAAATTTTATCATAAGAAAATGAATGAGCAGAACATAAAAAATGCGGCAATGGTTTAGTGACAACGGTGGCAGCAGTCATAGATCGATATCTATAAGATAAGTGCTTAGTGTCAGTTGGATTATAAAGTCCTGAAAAATTAGAAGTTGAAAAAAAAAGAAGAAGAAGAAATAAATGATCTACTAAAAGAAGGAATTACTTCAAATCATTCTGAGGGAAAAAAAATGATGCTTGGCATTAGAAGCACAACCTCACACATGCAGAAGATGAAGAAGAGATAGGGAATAGTGCAAATCCGCAGGCGAGAGAAACCAGTGGGCGACCGCAAAGTTATATATGGTGGCTGATGGCCTTACGTTCTTAACTAACTGCACACAAAGATACAGTTAAGCATCAGAACATTAAATTTCTCGAACAAGTGGTAGCCAAAAGAAAAACAAATCCTCAATTTGTGTCTTGTGATGATGATATGAGATAAAATTATATCATTAAATTTCGCCAACAAGTGGCCAGGAAAATATCTTCAGTTTGTAATTATATTAATAACGCCGTGCGCAGAAAGTCAACGGCGGTGATGATATTCTGCACAAGCCAAATAATGTGACATTGGATTATTCATTCTTAGGCTTCTATATCTACAGAACATATGTTATGTATGTTTATATTATTTTTTAAATAAAAGACAATACCTAACTTAAATAAAAAAGATACAGCATAATAGATACTAGTTTTTCCTATTCGAAGCATACTCCGTGTTCTTAAAAAAATTGCTCATTCCTTAAAATCTCTCACTCCCATCTTGATATTTGTGAAAATCTAGAAATTCAGGCTCGTTTAGCATTTTTTTTTCCCAGATTTTATGTGCTTTCTGATACCTATACAAGAGCGAACAGTGTTAATAAGGAAGGTTGTAGAGCTAACAGTAGCACAATTAAGTAATTTAATAAAAAGAAAAAAATGTAGGTACTAAGTTAATTAAAAATTAAGAAAAATTATAGATACTTATAAAGTGATTTTCCTAAAATTAAAGACTAACAATATATATTTTGCCATAAAACCAAAGAATTTCTTTCTTCGATGTCAAGAAACCGGGGAACAGATCAGATGACTAGATTAATATTATCTGATGTCATGGTCTCCAATTTTTAGAAAATCTTTTGTTTAATATTATTTCTTGATCTTAATGTAAGACTTAGTTAATTAATTTAAAAATATTAAGGAGTATCAATAAATTACTTAATTATAGTATCTATTATATGATTTCTATGAAGTACTTAATATATTATTAAATTATATATTAGTTTATAAGTCAGCTATATTAGTTTGGAGCGGAGGTAGTATTTTATAAACAAATTACCATTATGTGTTGGATTTTAATATTTGATGAAATCATCATCAACCTAGATTTGCTCAAGAACCATAAATATCAGTAGCTTATCATTCAATATCCACTTGTTGCACATGACTGCAGTCATTTTTCGTTTCCTTCTTCCAAATGCATCTGAACCCTGCAGACCACTAGCTCCATTCAAAGCACTCAAATTAAATTTTCAAATTGACAATTCCATTTGCCAAACACAAGTTGATATATATATATATATATATATATATTTCTAAACAATTTGCTTCAGTTATTTAATGTTATCTCTTATCCTTTAATTTGCTTGCGAAAGCCACCTTCATTCAAAACATCAAGTCAAACCAATCACACACAAGTTATTGAATAGTTTATTACACCCATACTTGTTGAGACTTGATGTCATATGATTGAACTAATTCTCCGGCAACAAAACCTTAAAAGAAAACTTCAAAACAATGTTCTTGTTTTGGCTTAGGTATATGACGTATTCCTCAAAAAGTTGTTCTGTATCTTCTTGTGCTGCTAGTTGTAAGGCTAGTTGTAAGGTGGTGTATTAATTTTATTTTTAAAATTCCTTTTCGGCACTCATCAGAAAATTAATGCCCGTTGCTTCATGGAAGGGGAAAATAAAATATCCTAAATATAAAATAAAAAATTCTTATCATGCTCCTATATATATAAACCCCAAGCCACGTAGTGATTGCCTGTACGTTCTTCATCGGGCTCCTTCATCACTGGCTTGTATTACAGTAAAGTGCGTTAGCTATGGAAATCATACGAAGTCGAATCAGCTCTAAATGACGATGAAAATGGTTATTCTTTTAGCTTCATGCATGTTTTAAGAAAGGCATGAGATAAAAGCATATTGGCTATTGATTGTGAGTGCCTGATGGTAAGGTTTCATCTCATCTCAGTTGCTATAACTCCAGGTACGTAGAATTTCTTTGTTAGAATAATTCAAGATGAATTATTAAGCCTAACAAGATTAATACAAAAAGCAAGTAAAAATGAGTTCAGATACAATTAGTTGATGATTAGGTGCAAGCACTAGATTGATCAGGTGTATTTATTTGGTTTTGTAATCCCAAGCAGATCAATTGGCTCATTGAAACCAGTCACTTTAATGTTTGTGTACACACACACACACAGAGGGAGAGATATCAAATCTTGATACATTCGTTGGGCTATTTTTTAACTTGTTGGCAAGATTTATCAAAGACCATATATATTCAATAGTTTGAGT